ACTACACACACATTCATACAGAACTCTACTATTCACACATTCATACAAAACTCTACTACCCACACATTCATACAGCACACTACTACTCACACATTCATACAGCACGCTAATACACACATATTCATATAGCACTCTACTAAACACACATTCATACAGCATTCTACTACACAGGTGCTCATACAACAGTCTACTACACACACATTCATACAGCACTCTACTACACATACACATTCATACAGCACTCCATCACACACACACACACACATACTGCACTCTACTAAACACACATTCATACAGCACTCTACTACACACACATTCATACAGTTTTCTACTACACACACATTAATACAGCTGTCTAATAAACAGACACACACACACACATTCACACAGCTCATTACTACACACACATTCATATTGCACTCTAATACACACACATTCATGAAGCTCTCTACTACACACACACATTCATACAGCACTCTACTACACGCACACACATTCATATAGCACTTTACTACACACACACATTCATACAGCACTCTACTACACACATTCATATAGCACTCAACTATACACATTCATACAGCACTCTACTATACACATTCATACAGCACTCTACTACATCTCTACAAAGATAATCTGAATCTGTTGAGAATCATCAGAGCTTTTTCACATTCATACACTGATGGGACACGCATCAAAGGCAGGGGTTCAGTGTCTTGCCCAAGGACTCTTCAGCATGTGACTACAGGTGGAATTGAACCCCCAACTCTCCTTTTTGGAGGACAACTGCTTTAACCCATCATCCACAGCGTCCCCAGAGTCCAAGCCAAACAGAATCCTTCAGTTTTCTGCTCCGTCCACTAAGAATCATCTTCAGTGTAAAAATGAAGGAGCTGCTTTGAAACAGACATCATGTTTGTGTTGGACATGGGTTCAGGTTTAATGGTTTATCTTGTTCAAATCATGCTGCTGCTCAATACTCCAGCTAGATGAATGCACCAAGGATGAGTCAGGTCCTCTGGACCTGGTTAGGTTTAGTGTTGTTGTTAAGGTTGTTTCAGGAAACTAACTTTAACAACAGTAAACCTACCCAGGTCGTTAGGGTTATTCTTCTTGTTAAAGTTTGTTTCAGGAAAACTTTTGCGTCTTTCCAGGACTACGAGAGATCTCAGTCCTGGTCAGATAATAAATAATCAGGAGCAGCTGTCCTACCTGCTTCTGGTCGGCTCGGCTCCTCTTGAAGTTCTTACTGTGTTTGTTCAAGGTTCGAGTCAGTCTCGTGATGAGAACATCGAGTTTCTGCAGACGAAGCAGTTCTGAGGCAGAAATAACAGATATATCTGTGCAGGACCCGAACCGAATCGAACCGAGTCTACCAAACCCAACTTCACTACCAAACTTCGTACCTCCGGTGTCGGAACCAAATCCAGTTAGGTGTGGTTCTGGAAGCGATCACCCTTTTGTTGAACTCATACACGAACACAGAGACTGACAACAAGCACGTGACTCCTCGTCCTCTGGTCAACATGTGAAGACGATCTGGATCTTTAAAGTCCTTTTAGTTTTAAATTGTGTTGTTGTTGTTGTTGTTTTGTTTGTTTGTTTGTTTTTTTACAGCATGGACATTTTTTCATCCAAGTTCTCTCCAGTACCACCATGAGCCAGACACACACATGAAGTCACTTCATGGCATAACACCGGCTCCCCTGCACCCAGCGGCTCCTTCTGCTCCTACAGCCCGTGGAGACCCGTGAAGGTTCTCTCAGAGGCATTCCTCTGCTCCAGAGCCCTGGGTCAAACACTCCGTCCTGCTGAAAGCTGTGTCCATCAGAGAGCGCAGTGAACCCACAAACGAAAACGAAGTAAGGCTCGCCTCAAATGCCGAGCAAGGCGCATGCGTACCATCCCAATGGATTACGGGAACAGAAGTTCAAGGCTGGGCAGCACGGTGGCGCAACTGGTAGAGCTGCTGCCTCTCAGCGAGCAGGTCCTTGGTTCAAATCCCGGTCCAGGGGCCTTTCTGTGTGGAGTTTGCATGTTCTCTCCGTGCATGCGTGGGTTTTCTCCGGGTATTCCGGTTTCCTCCCACAGACCAAAAACATGCATGTTAGGCTGATTGGTAACTCTAATTGTCCCTAGGTGTGAGTGAGAGAGTGAATGGTTGTTTGTCTCGTTTGTCTCTATGTGGCCCTGTGATGGACTTGCGACCTGTCCAGGGTGTACCCCGCCCCTCGCACAGTGATTGCTGGACATGGGCACCGGCGACCCCCGTGACCCAAAATGGAATAAGCGGGTAAAGATAATGGATGGATGGAAGTTCAAGGCTATAAATAGCAATTCAGCAAACTCTCTTCTGCTGTTCAGAGGAACCACAATGTCAAAAATATAGCCAGACTCTATGGAGGGTGGAATATTTATTTAATGTTGTCACATTCCACCCTCCCTACTGCTGAACGGGAGCCATGAAATAAATAAATACACAGTGAAATAATTAAATGTATTCTAAATAAAAAATTATTGAAAATGTTGTTTAATTATTTAATGTCATTTAAAATGTACATTTATTTGTTTAATGGGACATTTAATTTAATTAATTGTATATTTAATGATTTAATCATGTATTAAATTATATATTTTATTATATAATGGGATGTTTAATGGTACATTTAGTTATTTTGTGGTACATTTATTTATTTAATTGTGCATTTATATTTATTTATGCCATGATGTATTTATTTAATTTTGTCACATTGTGAATTTAACAATTGTATAATTAATGATTTTTAAATGACACATTTAATTATTTAATGGGACGTTTATTGTTACATTTATTTATTTCATGGTATATTTATTTATTTGTACATTTATATTTATTTATTTCATGATGTATTTATTTATTTAATTGTGTCACATTATATCCTCCACAGATCTCACTCCAACTCTGAAAGAGGAGATCTCCTCACTCCTGGAAAAGGGGGCAAAAAAAAATTGTCCCTCCTCAGGAAGCAAATAGCGTTTTTTACAGCTGCTATTTTGTGATCCTGAAAAAAGATGGGAGACTCCGACCCATACTAGATCTGAGACAAATAAGTGAATGGCTGAGGACTAGGGACATGCACAGATAGACACTAGGTGGTGCTAGAGCACCTGCCATTTTCCCTCTGAACCAAAAAAAGTGCTCTAATAATGCTTTTTTAAATTTTATTTTATTTTAACAGTGTAGCTTTAGTGTGTGGCCCAAGGTAGCATTTCTGGATTTAAAAACTTTTATTACCAGTGCCACTCACTTTTATACTTTTGCATGACATGAGTAGTTGTTGTTTTTTCCCCCCTGGGTGCTCATGTGCCTGTCTCCCACAGGACAGTTTGCGTTGTAGATACCCACTAACCCATAGGTGTCCTTCTTTGGCATCAGCAAATGTAGGAATTTATGGTGTAGTCAAAAATTATTTTTACATAGGCTTCTGATCTTCTGTTTCAAATTCATTAAATTGTTCTCATCTGTTTTATTTGAATAATCAGGTTTTTTTTTTTTTGTATTGACTGAAAGATAACTTCCAAGACAAAGGTATGTTTCTTGTGTGTGCATGTAAATTGGCAGTGAGATTTAGAAAAGTATACAGTAAGTGCAATCAAAAAATCTTACCCAGGGTACAAAATTGCAGGACTGTTGTGAAGAAAGTGGCATCCAGCATCTTTAACCCTTTATTATCATGCAGAACATTGATTGATCTCATTTACCAATTGCAGCATAATGCCGAGAAAAGAAAAGAAAGGCTGAGAAAAGAAAAAGAGAGCTACAGCAGGCAGACCATGGAAGCAGCACCCTGCTCTCCTGGATCAAACCAGCAGCAGCTTCAGAGGAGGAGGAAAAAGTTAATGAAGAAAGGTCAGAGCCGATACGAGAGTCATGTTAAGGGACAAGCTATCCGGATAGAGCTGTCTTAATGCTCAGATTTTTTTAAATTTTTTTATATTTTTACAACAACAACAACAACAACAACAACAACAACAACAACAACAACAACTACTACTACTACTACTACTACTACTACTACTACTACTACTACTACTACTAGTACTACTAGTACTACTAGTACTACTACTACTACTACTACTACTACTACTACTAATAATAATAATAATAATAACATTATTATTATTATTATTATTACAATAATGATAATTTGTTTGCAGAAAAAGTAGTTATGTGGTAGGGTGTTGATTTTTGGCCATGACAGTCAATGAGTCAGTCAGTGAGTCTTAATGTTGTAATTGTTGGTCTTCTAGGCAGCTACAGCAGGTGGCCCAGGAAAGCAGCTCTATGCTGTCCTGCAATATGCCATTTATGAACATGGAAGATGAGGCAGACGAAGTTATCACAGAGTCAGAAGTCAAAATGTCAGAATCTATAGCATGGACAGTCACAAAAACAGTGCTCTCTTATATTGAAAGTGAGGGTGAGATGAAAAGAGAACAACAAAGCCATGAACAAGAACTAGCTGTGTGTGAAAGAGATGGCACAACTGCAAAGCTACGTATTATGCAATATCCGACAGATTCCTTCCCATGTTGAAGCATTTCACATCAAGTGCAATGACAGCTACATTTCCATGTGCTGCAGCGTAGGTCCTTGTGGTTGACAAGGACCTACACTGCAGCACATGGAAATGTAGCTGTCATTGCACTTGATGTGAAATGCTTCAACATGGGAAGGAATCTGTCGGATATGATATTTCCCAAAAATGATAATGGGTGGCATGGACGTCAGAAGCATCTGTAAAGTGTGTGTGTGTGTGTGGGGGGGGACACTATAGTGTGTGTGTGTGTGCGTGTGTGTGTGTGCGTACACGTGCACCAGTGTACAAAAAAAGCAACATTTCATCTAGATTTCCTTACTTTAATTTCATTTAAAGCATGTTTATCAGAATCAGAATAAACTTTATTGGCATTGCACCGAGATACAACGCAAATATGTACGTACAGTCGTCCGAAAGATGGGCAGAGTGCACGAAGCTGCGGCTATAAATAGCTTCTTATTCTTATTCAGAATAATATTTTGCTTAGATGAGAAAAGGGAAGAAAACATGAGGAGAGACAGTATAAAAAAAAGATCTCTCACACCGTGTCTTAGACAGGGCACGATTTGAGACATCAAAAAAACCTACCACAGCAAAGCAACATAAATATATGTTATACATGTACATATAGGCCGGTGAAGACATTGAATTTTTAAGGGAAAGTCGTAGCATAGTCCAGAGCCCCCCTTCTCAGCCATTGTCCAGATAAGTGGTGTCATTCATCATCAGCTCGGTTGAGGCTCTGTCACATGTCCACGACCATGAATATATGTTTATGATCAACCCCCCAGTCAACAACTGCCCGCACTAAGCTCACTAAACTGACAATCAACACAGAGGTGTCTCCACCTCCTCCACCTGTGAGCGTTCTCTGCCGAGGCCGGAGACGCACAGAAGCACTGTAGGTTGGAGGAGGTAACCAGGAATACCTGGAGTGGATTTTTAGTGGTTTGAGTATTCTCCTATTATGCAAGTGGAATGGATTTGTTCACAAAGAAAGAGAAACTGTGCCGACTGAACTATGTTTCATAGTAAAAGTGGGGGGGTTCAAATGAATGTTTTTTTTAATGTGGGGGACATGTCCCCTTCACATATAATGGTGGCAACACCTATGATGGGCGGTCATTCCAAAAACAATGGTTCTCTGGGAATGTGTGGTTGGAGTAATCACCTACTACTGAGTCAATAGACCTTTTTCACAACAACCGGAAGTAGCGTCTCCTGGTGCTGGGTCACTTCCTGTTATTGCGAGTCTATGCAAATGCAAGGCTTTTCTTTCACTGATGTGGAGGAAATCGCAGCGGTGAATTCTCGAACCAATAAACTTGAGAAAGGATATAAGTTCTTCCATGAAGAATATATCCACAGCTATCAAGGTAAGAAAAGAAGTAGCTTAGCGAGCTAACCATTAGCTACAACATATGAAGTACATAAACGTCACAATAAAGCCTAATTTAGTGTGCTAAATTATTTGGAATATTTGAGACAGACGTGGTATAAACTTTTAACTGATATTTTAACAATCTGATATGTGTTTGCCACTACAGTTTGTGAAAGAAAACGTACTAGATGTTAGTTATGAGATGCTATGATGCTTGATGTTCAAATTGTGCTTTACTTCTGCATAACTATAGGTCAAATATTGTCGAGGGACAGTTAGTTGTCAGAGCTAGATGCTTCAGGTCCATGAAGAAAAATGAGGAACCACAGACTGCAGGTTTGAAACAGGCAGAAAGCCGGTTGGCTCATGTTCATTAGAGTTCCTGTTCATTTATGATAGCTGAAGAACTTTGACGTACGATAGACAACTTCTGTACTACTGAGAGCTTACAGTAACATCTTCCTGCT